TAATTTTTCCCGGCATTTTGAAATGCGCACTTTACTTTTAAGGCGTACATTTGTACCTATTGCAGCAACTGTCATTGAAATCCACGACACAGCTTCTGAAGGAAGCAGTCCAGTTAGATTTGAGGACAATATCTCTGACGACCCTGGCTATTAGCAATCCGAAACGAAATAAAGAAGTAAACAAATCAGAGGTAAACAATAAATAACAATAATAGAAAGAATGAACGCCGCAGCTGGACAGTCTGTGTACGTAACTACAAGGACAAGATGTCAAAGGTGTACAATAAGTCTCATCCTACTGTACAAGTGCAATCTGAGATGTGTACGCTAAGTCACGTGGCACTCTACCGGGACAATCTGAGATGTGTACGGTAAGTCATGTTGTACACTACCGGGACAATCTGAGATGTGTACGGTAAGTCACGTGATACTCTACCGGGACAATCTGAGATGTGTACGGTAAGTCATGTTGTACACTACCGGGACAATCTGAGATGTGTACGGTAAGTCACGTGGTACTCTACCGGGACAATCTGAGATGTGTACGGTAAGTCATGTTGTACACTACCGGGACAATCTGAGATGTGTACGGTAAGTCACGTGGTACTCTACCGGGACAATCTGAGATGTGTACGGTAAGTCATGTTGTACACTACCGGGACAATCTGAGATGTATTCGGTAAGTCACGTGGCACTCTACCGGGACAATCTGAGATGTGTACGGTAAGTCACGTTGTACTCTACCGGGACAATCTGAGATGTGTACGGTAAGTCACGTGGTACTCTACCGTGACAATCTGAGATGTGTACGGTAAATCACGTTGTACTATACCGAGACAATCTGAGATGTGTACGGTAAGTCACGTGGTACTCTACCGTGACAATCTGTGATGTGTACGGTAAGTCACGTTGTACTCTACCGGGACAGTCTGTTGGACGTGTTGGGTAATTAGTGTCATTATTTACCTAGGTCATTGAACGGATATGTCTGACAACATAAATGATGTCACCACTTTGACATTAACGATTGTAGGTAACACGTTCAATATAAGACATTAATTATGTACAAACCAAATCCTTTAACAAGGAAGCTACGTTAACTTATTGTACTGATCGCTGATAACATTTCATGTATGTCAAGTTGTTACTCGGTGTTCCTATGTTGGCACATTATAATATTGATCATCTCTCTAACGTTGGCTTTATCAGAATTATTTAATAAAGGAATACCCGATGGGACATGTTCTTAGCATGTACTTTGGATTTGTTTCTAGTGAGTTCAAACTGCCAACAAAGTGCAACATTTGACGTTTGACACAGAAAAAGATAAATGAAAAAAGGAGAAAATTTTGAGCAAATTCACGAGCTGATTATTAGTTACATTGTGTTATACCGGGGCGTTGATTATCAGTAAAACCAACTCTATAGTTGGATTTTCTAATTTAGAAATATGATAATTACCTGTTGTGAGACTGATACGATTTTATGTAATCAGTAGTTTGATACAGATGATCAATGTCTCAGTGCGAGGTGCACCTTGTATTTGACTCATCTTTCTTTTCTGATTATAATTTGCAAGTTTCATAGACATGATAATTGACTCACAGGTGTTTGACATGACCATTGACTCACAGAGTAACTGACTCACCAGTAGGTTATACTTCATATTTGATTCGCAGAACCATTAACCATTAAGTGTGCTAGATATAATTATTGACTCGTCACCGTGTTAAACCTAATATAGGACTCGCCAATATGTATTTGGCCTGATAAATGACTCACCTTGGTGTTAGACTTAATCATTGACTCGTCAATGTATTTGACTTGTTAACTGACTCACCAGTGTGTTAGACTTGTTAACTGACTCACCGGTGTGCAAGATTTGTTAACTGACTCACCGGTGTGTTAGACTTGTTAACTGACTCACCAGTGTGTTAAACTTGTTAATTGACTCACCAGTGTGTTAGACGTGTTTACTGACTCATCAGTGTGTTAGACGTGTTAACTGACTCACCAGTGTCTTAGACTTATTAACTGACTCACCAGTGTCTCAGACTTGTCTTACGATAAACAGATTGTTAAATGAAGACGACTCAGACCTCACAACAGTATAAGATTATGAAATATAGGCCCGCGGCTCGGAGTGATGAAACATTTCGTGTTAATGAAAGGAATATGTATAATACACCCATCTATATATCGTCTGAACTAATTCCATTTATGATATATATCTTTGAAACAATTTTTCCATTGTCCCTCTAGATATACACGTATCACTTATTCCTTAACGAGAATATTTATGTGATTAAAACAATAGAGATGTTACAAATATATAACCAGGTGATTGAAAGTTTTATCATGATATGGTATATATATATAAAGTAATTAAAGAACACTGTTGTGGAGTTTAATTATGAACCAATTATTTTACACTTAAAGACCTTTAAAAACCTCATGGTTTTTGTTAAGTGTATCCAGTGCGATGTTTTATATATTCCAGACGATGTCATTAATTATAATACTAGGTAAGTGTTATTTTTAGTATTGACCATGAGCTGGCAGTTTTTGATGTGAATGATTGCTAGCTGAATGGCTTATGATTGTTAAATGTAATATCAAACACTGTATCGCATTAGTTATATATGGGATGTTCTCTAGAAGATGATATATGTCATGTAATATATAATATTTAATTGAACAGTATTCCTGTATTGGTTATTTGATATCAAGACCAATAAAACTGTTCCCAGTATGGTAGTTTATAAATATATCTGATGAGCCAACAATCAAATACGCATGCGCGATGGTTTTTTTTTTTTTTTTTTTTGTTTTTGTTTTTTTAACCTGATCCTTTTAGAATCAAAATACCAGATCATATGATGTAGATTGTTTCGTTGAATGTTAAATAAATGATCTGTAATCGTGAAAATGACCCAAAAATAAATAGTGAGTGGTCCTTATATACTGTCGGACTTTCGTCGGTTCATTGATGATGTACCTTTAAGGGGGTTGACATTAGGGTTATATAAGGTCACAATAGTCGCTAATTATTACAAGTAATTATGTACTAATTAATGCTCAGCCATGTTGTATATAACAAATACATTAGCGATAAACAGTCTCACAGTTAACCAGATATAAAACCTGTTTTCTCTTTCTGTTATGTACTATAACCTGTTCCTTAGGTGTACTGTGTAATAACATTGTCAGTATCAAATTAACCAATGTTAATCGATATCAAAATTACTTTTGAATAATGCAATTCCATATCATCATTTTCAGTAAAGGAAAAAAAGCGGAACATGTCACATAATTTAAAAGCATTTATTTCATTAAATATAAAATCACATAATATCAAGTATTTCCTTTAAAATTTGCAGGCAGACACACCTCCCCAGATGTAACATATTTATACCATTGAATCAACTGTACATGTCTTATTTAAATAGATCCCTTGATAAAAAAGGTGCTATATAGCGCTGACATGTAAGGATGACATGTATATCATAGTTCATACATGTATAATTACCATAAATTATAATCCTGTGACGAATAGGCAAAAACAGACACAAGAAAGATATAATTTACAAACCATTATCTCATTATAGAAGAAGGATGTAAATCATAGTTAAACTTAATTATTTTCTGTCAAAATAACACCTTTGATGACGATAGTTCTATAAAGCTGAATCATAAATAATGATGATCTTTACTAGGAAATGATAAACAGTCGGGAGCTTTACGGACATTTCCGTCGTTGTTTACAGGTATTGGGAATCAACATACACGGAAATGTCCGAATGATTTTTGATGTTTTCCGAAATAGACACCGTAAAGTTATGATTTTCCCGTAAAATTTGTTGATCGAGTGAGAATTTCGTTTGAATTATTAAGAGGTCAAGATAAAGGCTTAGGAAGACAAACTAGTGTTTGTCGAGGTTATTAACGTTGATTTAACAGACATTTCGGTATTTCAACATAATGTTTTACCGCGCATCATGAAAAATGTCCGAATGTCGAAAGTATGAATTTCCGTAATAAAAAGCAAAAACCAGACAAACCATAGGCATCTTGAAGTAAGGAAATTTAACAGAAATATACAATCGTAATTATGTTGTTAGTATCAGAGCTCAATCAAACTCTCAAATTTACCAGAGTACACAAATTAAGTATAGATACCTGGCTGATTGGGATTTCATGAAGGCATCTCTCTGTGATTGGCGAACATGATATGGGGTACGATTCTCAAAAACATCTTAAGGAACGTTAATATATTTACGATAAGTTGAAAAAATCGCGCTCCTCAGAATGTCGTTTATTGAATTAGAAAGGTTGGAATAATGATCGGATTCTTTGTCGTGTTGAGAGATTACCTATTGTAAATCCCGTTATCAGATACATACTATTTTGTCATCAAAATATTTCGAAATACATTTTATTTACATTAATATCAGGACAGTTAGTCATAACTTCGCTCTTAAATGGATTTCTTAAGAAGTAAACTATCACAAATTATATGCTGATTTACAATTTGATTGTAAATGCCATATCTAAAGATGATATTTAAAACACAACAAGAATACATTTCCATAAGCAACGAGACAAAACGCGACGATAAATATCATAACATTGGTGAAAACAAGAATAATTTAATATATTTGATTAATGGTCATGGATAAATGCATTGTATGTGACTTGGCCCGAAGAATATTATTCATCTGAGACACAAATGTGACATGAATGACACATAACACCTCGTATCTAAAGGTAATTGCATAACAAGCCAAAAATGTTTCCTCCTTATACAATTATAATTAATATTTCTTTTCAAATATTTGGTACGTAAATGTCTTACGAACGATAAATAAAATAGACCGACAGGGCAGTTTAACATCCCTTTCGTATAGGTGAACGTTCTACCAAATTAAGACGTCATCTATGACAATAAATTTAGCACTTTCAGGAGGCTACAACTTAATATACATAAGGGTCGGAACCCCTTAACACTGCCAAGGACTGTCCACTTGGAGGTTCTGTAGAGTCGTCGGCTTTTTCATCCATTCAATGATATCCTTAATGGCCAGAATATAAACGTCGTTCATGGTGCTTAATTTGTCAACAAACATCTGTAGCCCCTCCAAATTTTTAGTAAAAAATGGATGTGAAAACCAAATATGGCGAAGATGTATTCCGAAGGGCGCTTTGTTGGTTTGATAGTGAGATTTGAAGTTGTTCCACAGGAAGTTAAATGTATCGTTAGCCGTGGGAGGAGAAAACATGCAGCCGTCCACGTAATTACAGATGTACAGATTACGATAGTCAATAATGGGGGTGTTAGGGACCTCCCACACCCCGGGATATGCTGACCTGGGACAATCTGGTATCACACAGGACTCCTTCCAACCGTAATCTAAGGTAAACGGCCAGTACTTATTGCCAGAGCTCTCGCGAGGGACAGTTAATGTGGAATCGTAAAGGTATCCGTATTTCATTACTTTTTCAAACTGACCGTCCCCTAACGGCTTCAGGTTAGGACTACGCCAACCTTTCGGTTTAATGTCAAGCTTGCTTAGTTCTGTAAGTTGTGACATCATTTCATCATTGAGAACGTGTTGATCGTTAAAATGTACCCCGTTATAGCCCTTGGATGCAATTTCCATTCCTCGGTCCTTCAGGAGTTTCAGATACATTCTAAACGTACCCGACTGCGAGACAAAAAATGTAGCACTTACCGGACAATTGTCAGGGTTCTTCCGGGAAGCCGGAAGAAGTCTAGCCAATTTTCCATAAACCTGATAATTAAGTACACCGTCCACTGTAAAAAATACCATTTGCGGAATGTCCGACACCGGAAGTCCACCCGGGATACTCTTCCCAGCACAATAACAATCCGGTAGATGGCAGTTTACTTCCTGATGACAGCTTTCGCTGGGTATAGGACCCGGTAAACGTGCTTTATACCTGTGGACATCCGTTGTCGATATTGGTTTCGTTTTCGTCGTCGTTGACATTGTTGTGGTTGTCGTAACCGGTTTCCGTGTCGTTGTCGTTACTTTCGTTGTTGGCTTCGGTGTCGTCGTTGTTGGTTTTGGTGTCGTCGTTGTTGGTTTCGGTGTTGTTGTCGTCGTTGTTGGTTTCGGTGTTGTTGTCGTCGTTGTTGTTGTAGTTGTTGTTGGTTTCGGTGTTGTTGTCGTCGTTGTTGTCGTCGTTGTTGTTGGTTTTGGTGTTGTCGTCGTTGTTGTTGTCGTCGTCGTTGTAGTCGTCGTCGTTGTTGTAGGTGGTTTTGGAGTCACCAGACCACATCCCCAGGGTTCAAAACTGGGAAGTTCAGAAAGCTTTGTCGGGCGTCTCATCCAGTCCAGCACCTGTTTAACGTTGACGATATAAACGCCTGGGTACTGCATCATATCATGAATGGCCCTATCCATAGCTTTGAAGTTATTAGGTGACATGAACCAGGCATAGTGCATGTTGAAACCTAGCGGAGCCCGGTTACCGTTATAGTGACTTAGGAAGTTGTCCATGATGTACTTATAAGCCTGCTCCTCCGTAGCTGGTCGGTTATAACAACCGTCAACATAAGCACAGGAAAACTGATCTTTGAAATCACGCATGGCGTTGACAGGTACTTCCCAGAAGCCTTTGTGACTTTGTTGAGGACATGGACGAATTTGGCAGTTATACGGCCATCCGTAGTCCAGTGTAAAGGGGAAAGGACTGCTGTCACGCATGTGAGCGCGTTTGTGTGTCAGTGAAATGTCGTACTGGTAGCCAAGCTGCTTTAACATATTCACCTGACTGTCTCCCGCCGTCTGTAAGAAAGGGCTCCTCCAGCCAACAACGTCCTCAGACTTTGCACCAGCAAGGTTGATAATATTGTTTTTCTGGTCGCGCGCCTCACGCAACACTTTCGCGCCGGTGTTTATGTTAGTGTGGGTGACACTATGCACGGCCAGTTCGTAACCAAGATCTCGGTACTCACGTACAACGTTGTACTGGGTGTATTGATGGGAAATGTATAAAGTTGGAGTTATTCTACAACCATTTGGATTTTTTCGTTCACTTCGGAATAGCACACGGTAATATTCCGAGGCAGATCCGGTCACGGCATCATCCAACCCAAAATAGATCATTTGAGGAATATCACTGCGGTTCATAAAATGTTGCAACGTACTGCAGAAACAGTTGGGTAGGTGACAATTGACACCCTGCTGGCACCCAAAAGGGAGTGTGGACACGACTGTCGACACGACAAGGAGAAGAAAGCACCATAGCAGATACATCGCAGTAACTGTGGGATAATTACTGTCCAATGTGTTTAAGTTCTGACGATGTTACGTACGAGCAGTGCTTAAGTCAGCACTCTCCAGCTATCTTGTCTGCCACAGAATGATGAGAGACTGTGTCAGGGACCTATATATATATAATCTCACCTGTAGAGAGGTCGACGCCTGCATCTCAGGTGTATCGTACAGGTATAGATTTTAGACTTACTTCACTTCCTACACGTCGTGTGACATGCTCTCTCTTTCTCACGTGTACGACTCCACCCTTAGTGTTACCTAACATTTGATTGGCCTGTCACCATTAATTGATAAATGTTCGTATGTCATGCCGACTGGAGCACGGCCCACATCTTCCTGTCTCTCCATACCAATAACTTATGAGAACACGAAGATTATCTAATACCTCAGTGTAAATGTACTATTCAACGTTCCCGTAACACGAAACATTGTCCGATCTATCATTAATTACTTGGTTAATAAACGTTGTTCTATGATTCCGACAATTTTGAGGCTCCACCTGACTACAACTCTGGATGCAGCAAGAGATTTTACAGTTCTGAAGATAGCAATCATAGTATTCGTTCAGCATACAAATAAGTATTCATTACTGGAAACATAATATATTGTTCAATAAGTTCACTTAACAGCTATCATTCTTTTCTCTGTCATATCAATATTTTTAAATTTATCGTTATAATTGATAGAAAATGAAGAATTGGTTTCATAGCAATTTTATTTTTTCGTTGGTCTAGAGTTTTTCTATCTCAGTTCTCATTTTAATCATTCAATTAATATCAAAGTGAAACATATTTCTGGATAAAAGTATAAACTCGTTTATGGACTATGAATTTGTAATATGTTAATAACACTTTTAGACAAAAATTATAATTTTTTGTGAACGACATACTAGCTACAAGTACGGAACATAACACTTGTAGACAAAAAATATAATTTTTTGTGAACGACATACTAGCTACAAGTACGGAACATAACACTTGTAGACAAAAATTATAATTTTTTGTGAACGACATACTAGCTACAAGTACGGAACATTAGTAGGCAAGTCTTATCTACATATGATTCTTAGTTACAACTCGTTAAAAACATTTGAAAACAAAACCTTAGGTGCAATTCTTTAAAAGATGATATCATAGCTACGTGTACGAAAGACTTGTAGACAAACACTTCGTTAAAATTCTTTTATTGGCAATACCTTAATTCACACAAGTGAAACATTTATATTTGGTGTTTACATATAACAGCTGATTCTCTATTCAAGGTAACAATATCATGATTCTTGTCGGCAACTGACGGACAAGCTCACACCAAAATCTTTCGAAAGAAACAGGTTGATGAAAATGATGAGAAAGTTTTGCAGTCGTCAAAATGATCTTATTGTGGAATGTTGTTGCTTGATGCGATATGGAGTTGGATGTGTTGGTGCTGTTGTTCTTGACTCTGTTCTCATTTGGGAACATGACATTATTTAATTGGATTGATCAAGATTGCATAGCTGATGTCATCGATGAAGCAGGAGACGCTTACTCTGCCGGAACACCTGGTCTAATTCTCCCAGTACCTTTTCAGGAGTCCTCGTTAAAATCTGTTTTATATTCATATTTTGATCTAGTTTTATTGAATTTTGAATTTGTATGATGTTTTTGTTGACATGTTGATATTTTTATTTTAGTTTATTTTTGGCATGTGCTGTTAGTTTGTAGGCAAACCCAAGGTGTAAACTCCTTTAGAGTCGATATCTCATCAATGCACCCTGGCCTGTTATCTGTGTTCCTGATTCGACTGCCTACATACCTAAGCAGCGTAAACATGGCTATAACAACGGCGTCGTGTTGCACTCGTCTTCATTTTTTGGCAAATTTGATGAAAACCTTTCCTTGTAAAAGTTCTAGCCGTGCTGGTCCCAGCCAACACACCTCTTCATCGGGATATTTGTAATGTGTAGGGGATGGAAAAGTTTGTTAAACAAGACCCGACAAACAGGCACTGTACCCAGCTAAGTGAGTTGTTGATCATATCCGCCACTATGTATATGTAAACAAACCCTCGGGACATCCAGCAACACCTGTAATTAGCCTCTCCCAGGTAACAGTACGAGGCAGCATCAATCCGGTATGACTTTCCCCAGTGACTGGACATCTTAATTGCTTACCCAATCCATTGACCGACGCTTGCACTCTCGTCTCTTGAAAGGTCGTAACAGCGGACGTAAAGACCGCCCCTCTCAGTCCTACGGCCATCCCCATTGACCGTCCACCGTCCAGCTAGGACCCCAGTATCAGGTGTTTGCAGTGGTCATGGCAACGCATACCATCACCCGACTGTTACGTAACACGGGGTGACACAGGAACGCAGAAGACTTCCTGGTATTACACCATATATTGGTAGGTGTGTGACAATGGCAAACAAAAAGGTACAAAATGTACATATAGAAGGGTATTAGGCTGAAGTAACGTGGAGATAACGATATTTCTAAATAATCAAGTGGAAAGCAGACTTTTTATTGCCAGCTGTCAGTTTCATTATCTTTAAACTATTCATCATTCTAGATTAATCAATGTTTCGTGGCAAATTTGATTTTCCTTACTCGTCTCCGAGACTCTTAAACCTGAGACCCTCACTGACTAGTCCTATAAGGACGAAACAGATGTTTGATGTAGCAACACTGATGAGTCCTAGAAGGACGAACAGCAGTTTGATGTAGCATCACTGACGAGTTCTAGAAGGACGAAACAGCTATTTGATGTAGCAACACTGACGAATCCTAGAAGGACGAACAGATGTTTGATGTAGCAACACTGACGAATCCTAGAAGGACGAACAGCTGTTTGATGTAGCATCACTGACGAGTTCTAGAAGGACGAAACAGCTGTTTGATGTAGCAACCCTGACGAATCCTAGAAGGACGAACAGCTATTTGATGTAGCAACACTGACGAATCCTAGAAGGACGAACAGCTGTTTGATGTAGCAACACTGACGAATCCTAGAAGGACGAAACAGCTGTATGATGTAGCATCACTGACGAGTCCTAGAATGACGAACAGCTATTTGATGTAGCAACACTGACAAATCCTAGAAGGACGAACAGCTGTTTGATGTAGCAACACTGACGAATCCTAGAAGGACGAAACAGTTGTATGATGTAGCATCACTGACGAGTTCTAGAAGGACGAACAGCTATTTGATGTAGCAACACTGACGAAACATAGAAGGACGAACAGCTATTTGATGTAGCAACACTGACGAATCCTAGAAGGACAAAACAGCTGTAGGATGCAGTTTGTTACATCGTTTGACTCTACTGTAATTCTTACTTGGTACTGAAAGGTGTTATTCACTTTTTTAATCTTTGTAATAACCGATACAATTAATATTACAGAATAATATTTTACCAATCATACACTAACCATTACATCCTGTCTTCATCTACGTGTATGTAACTATAGTCAACACAATAACACCATGAACGAAATGCTACTAATTTAACGATATCAATGCAATAAAACATCAATTTATCTTGACAATATCAATACCATCAACATACAGTTTATTGTACAATATCAGTACCATCAACATACAGTTTATTGTACAATATCAGTACCATCAACATACAGTTTATTGTACAATATCAGTACCATCAACTTACAGTTTACTGTACAATATCAGTACCATCAACATACAGTTTATTGTACAACATCAGTACCATCAACATACAGTTTACTGTACAATATCAGTACCATCAACATACAGTTTATTGTACAATATCAGTACCATCAACATACAGTTTATTGTACAATATCAGTACCATCAACATACAGTTTATTGTACAATATCAGTACCGTCAACTTACAGTTTACTGTACAATATCAGTACCATCAACATACAGTTTACTGTACAATATCAGTACCATCAACATACAGTTTATTGTACCATCAACATACAGTTTACTGTACAATATCAGTACCATCAACATACAGTTTACTGTACAATATCAGTACCATCAACATACAGTTTACTGTACAATATCAGTACCATCAACATACAGTTTACTGTACAATATCAGTACCATCAACATACAATATCAGTACCATCAACATACAGTTTACTGTACAATATCAATACCATCAACATACAGTTTACTGTACAATATCAGTACCATCAACATACAGTTTACTGTACAATATCAATACCATCAACATACAGTTTATTGTACAATATCAACACCATCAACATACAGTTTATTGTACAATATCAGTACCGTCAACTTACAGTTTACTGTACAATATCAGTACCATCAACATACAGTTTACTGTACAATATCAATACCATCAACATACAGTTTACTGTACAATATCAGTACCATCAACATACAGTTTACTGTACAATATCAGTACCATCAACATACAGTTTACTGTACAATATCAGTACCATCAACATACAGTTTACTGTACAATATCAGTACCATCAACATACAGTTTACTGTACAATATCAGTACCATCAACATACAGTTTACTGTACAATATCAATACCATCAACTTACAGTTTATTGTACCATCAACATACAGTTTATTGTCCAATATCAGTACCATCAACATACAGTTTATTGTACAATATCAGTACCATCAACATACAGTTTACTGTACAATATCAGTACCATCAACATACAGTTTACTGTACAATATCAGTACCATCAACATACAGTTTATTGTACAATATCAGTACCATCAACATACAGTTTACTGTACAATATCAGTACCATCAACATACAGTTTACTGTACAATATCAGTACCATCAACATACAGTTTACTGTACAATATCAGTACCATCAACATACAGTTTATTGTACAATATCAGTACCATCAACATACAGTTTACTGTACAATATCAGTACCATCAACATACAGTTTATTGTACAATATCAGTACCATCAACATACAGTTTATTGTACAATATCAGTACCATCAACTTACAGTTT